TCAATGTCTTGTTTTATTATACATCGTTGTAGGACAGCTGTTGCCGCCCTACAGTGATATATATTTGCTTGGATTACCTTCAGAACAGAGCACCTAATTTTTCCTGTAAAGAAAGGAGCGGAAATTTTTTTATGTTGGTATAAAATTAGCCTAAAATGGGCCTAAAATTATAGCATATTCAGAATGTGAAAAATCCAAAGGTGCTCTGCCAGCTTGGTACGTATAAAAAAAACATAGACAGCAATTGCCAGTCGAATCTTGGGACATTCTGTAAATATACAATATCGAACTCGCGATATAACCTTGTACGATAAAAATAACCGGACGCATTTTGTTGATCAAGTAGCTATTCTAATTATTATTGTGGGCTTTCAAAATGCAACAGTATTATATATGAGGCAAACTTGAAAACTGTTTTCACTGATAGTGATAAGAAAGATATTTTTTTTTTAAATTACACACTCGTGTTTTTTGCGTAATTTCTCTAACAACTGGCAACTCAGTAATTTTTTGAAATTATTTTCTGCTGGGGTGCCATGGAGAGAATTATGGTGATTTTTTTTTGACATATCTAATTATGGAATTGATTAATAATAATTTATTTGATTTGTAAATTCAATACATTTGAACAGAAGTGAACAAGTACTTAATAAAATGATTTTTTTACTTTACATTTGGCATTTAAATTAATTCAAGTTGTTAATATTATAATAATTATCATGAATACATATCATGACGTTTGTTTATTTTAAGCAACAGGTTATTTGTTAATAATTTATTTAAACACCTATTTATTTTAAAATAATACTATTCTAATTTATATACACTCACCGACTTAAAATTCGATCCATTCAAAATTATTTTTTATTTAAAAATGCTCTAACTTTCAAATGCCGAGGCTGATTTATTTGAATTTTTTAGTAACTTTTAGATAAAATACTGTAGTTTTAAGATTATTATTCGGACATCTAAAAGTAATTTAGTACTCACCGCATATACAGGGGAGAAGAGAAAACAATTTTTTCCTCTACTTTTGACACACGCTGTAGGTTAATTCTGCTAGTATATTTGCACACAATTAACTTTATCAAAAAGACTGATTTGTTTCCAACACTTTGTTTTTTTTTTATTTACCCCGATATCTTAATTTGTTTGTGAAATGTGACGGTTTAAAGAAAATGCAACATTTTAGAAAAAGTCATAATTTAATGACGGTAGAGAATAAACTACAAAATAAGTAGAGTGCTGTAGCCAATTCACAATATGACAACTGTCAAATATTCGTTACTTGGCAATTACAGTTTAATTATCAACACAACAAATATTCATTATCAGCATAACATCATGGTTTTAACGCCTACTGATACAACACGAGCAGTTGCTCTGGTACAAGACGGTAAGTCTCAGTATTATTGTTCTAGAACAGTGGTCGCCAAACTCTCAATGTGTTGAGCTACTTTGTTAATTTTGGAATAAACAGCGAGCTACCCACACGGAAGCCACGTAACGCAACGTAAATGAAATAATCCACAGTTAATTTATCATTATATGTATTTATTTTACTATTTAACTGGTAATACATAATACATAGGTACTAATAATAAACTAATAACAAAACAACTAATATTACTAGTACATACTTGTTCATAGCTATATTCCTACCTACCTACCAAACGAAGGTGTTTGAAAAATAAACACAAACTTTTATCCAGCCACAACGGCATGTCACGTAAGATTTAAAAATAGTTAATAATAACAACAAAAAAGTAACGCACTATCATGAACATAAAAATTGAAAAATAAAAAAGCACGTTCAATGAGAAGGCTGACACTCAAACTCATCGACAATTTTTTTAATGTTTGCAGTATAATTTGATACAGCCATTCGAATACAATTATCCAAATGTTCATCTGTAAGTCGATTGCGATATTTGTTCTTAATAAACTTCATATTGGAAGAAGAATATTCACACAAATAGGTTGAACTGAATAATGCTTTCACTTTCAAGGCAACACGGCATAGAACTGAATATTTGTCTTTACTTACAATAGGCCAGATACATTTGGTACTTGAGACTAACGATTTTAAGGCTAAATCATTTTGAAACTCAATTACTTCAATTTCTGTTGCGGCGATGTCTTCGCCAAAGTTCTGAATAACACAAGTTGCAAACTGTTGGATACCAATTTCCATAAATGGTGAAACAACAAACTGCGCTACTAAAGCCATTTCGTTGAAATCCTTAAAACGATTTTTGAAGTTATTCTTCAGGGTAGAAACTATTTCTACATGATATTTGCTGTCATAGAGTTCTAATGGATTTTGAGATATTTTTTCTGAAAGAATAGGAAAATGCTTGGCATCGCTGTTAATTAGGCTTTGTTCCCAAAACTCCAGATTTTTGATAAATGCTTTTATATCAGAAATCATTTCCGCTAGTTCTTTGTCTCTCCCCTGAAGCTGCAAATTAAGTTCGTTTAATTTCTCTGTAATGTCCACGAGAAAACCAAAATCTCTATTGAATTTTCTAGTTCCGGAGTCGGTTCATCCCGTTGTTTGAAAAATTGAACTATGCCAGATAAGGACATCATTAAAATGTTTCAGCACCCGTCCTCTACTTAACCATCGGACTTCAGAATGAAGGAGTAGGTCCCCGTATTGACAGTTAACTTCATCGGCCAAGGTTTTGAATAATCTTCTTTGTAACGCTTGAGCTCTAATCTGTTCACAATTTTTACCACCAGTTTCATAACGTTGTTTAGTTTCAGGAAATGTCCACATAATGCTTGCTGATGGATAATGCAGTGGTAACAGAGAAATTGTGGAAAAGTTTCATCTTTACGACATAACGCCACCAGACCCTTATCACAACCCACCATAGCTGGAGCGCCATCGGTTGTCAAGCCTACCATTTTCGATATTGGAATTTTCTCGGAAGAAATAATATTTTTTAAATGAGAAAACAACTCCTGTCCAGTAGCGTGTCCTATCAGTGGAATAAACTTCAAAAGATCTTCTTTAATCGTAAAATCACTAAAAACCATCCTGACGAACACGGCCATCTGGGCAGTGTTAACGACATCTGTTGATTCATCCAGTTGAAGTGAAAAATAAAGACAGTTCTTAACTGTAAAAAAATATCATTGCTCATTACTTCTACACGTCTCATCACTGTATTAGCAGAAAGTTGCAAAGATTTTATAGCTGAAACTATCTCGTCTTTATTTCTAAAGTTGGCAAATAACGAATCAGCAGCTTCTAAAAACGCCTGTTTATCATTTCCCCGTCTTCATAAGGTTTCTTTTTTTGTGCAATTATCTGGGACACACGGTACGATGTTTCAGTTGCAGCCTTATTTTTGTCGACTGTTCTTAAAAATATTGATTGTTGTCCAATTAACTGCTTTTTTAACTGTTTCAGTTTCTCCTTTCTGGCGGCAGAATGTAGTGGGAATGATTTTTCAAAATTAAAATGTACAGTTTTATAATGTCTCTCAATATTTCCTTTTTTAGCAACGGAGACCGAAGTATTACATAACAAACACACATTTTTATCTTTAACTTCTGTAAAAAAGTATTGTTCTTCCCATTCCGAATGAAAGTGGTATGTCTTTACCTTCTTACAACTGCTTGCCATATTATTTTTTGTTGTTCTCTACTAACCCAACCACTGGACGTTGGTAACGCGTTCAGTTTTAAACTTAGCGCAATGACGCCGCGTCGTGCGTATTTATCCCATTCAAAGCAATCCTGATCGTTCTCGAACACTAACGCGCTGGTCCGGCTGGTCGGTTTTAGCCGATTTTAGGTTGATGACGTCAGCGGCAGATCGCTGACCGCAACGTTGCCGCTGTTTATGTTTAATATTATGACAATTAGATTTTTTTGTGGAATTTTCGGAAGCTTCTCTGATTTTTGCAGTTTGTATTTTTTAAATTAAAATCGTTGTGAGAGCTACCAGAATTGCTTCCGCGAGCTACCGGTAGCTCGGGATCGACGGGTTGGCGACCACTGATATAAATGATAAAGTATTTTATTTGAGAAAAAGGTATCGATATACAAAATTATGCAGTAGGCAACTTTTCAAAATATTCACCTACATTGCTTGCTTCTGTAGAATCACTCATACAGTGTCGGCCACTAAACGTTTTTTAATACGCTTTGCACAAGTGCATGTGATAACTACAGAAAGTTAGCATTAGACGTGCAGGACAGGAATAATATTAACGCTGGCCATTTAAACAGCCTGACCGCGTTGTAACGTTGGCCCAGTCGTATAAACTCACCCGAGATTGAGATTCAGTTGATTTTTTAAAAAACATATCAATACGTAATTAAATCTGAACAAATTCTAAAATACTTAGGATCCAGAATAAACGTAAAAAGTGCGGGGTTTTTATTGGGTATATTATTTTATCACAAATAAAAACCTATAAAAATATTGGCATTTTTAGGAAACTTTGTACTTACACGTAATTCCCATCTATCCTAGAATATGCAAAGTAGAACAAAAATATAAGAATGTAAGAATATAATTATTAAAACAATTATTTATGCATTGCATGTCAAAACACGTACTTAAATTTGCGAAATAATTTGAAGGTTCCCTATTTACCAGAATATTTTCTTAAATATATTAATAATAAAATGTTTTTAAGTTAAAAGGTTATCTATATTTTTCAAATCTAGTATGTCCATCTGCAAAGGAAAATAAGGTAGCAAGTTTAAACACATTTTTTTTGGTATATTAATATAATAGCGAGTGTGGTATTCAATCGTAGAAAAAAACTTTACAACCTTTTTAGTAAAGAAAATATTTAAAGAAAAAGAAAAGATAAATCACAAATCTCAATAAGTATTTAAGAATTTCTTACCGTTCTATCCTATTTTTGATAGCAACAAAAGAAATTAAAATATTTATACAAACCGCTGTAACTTATCATAACAATTTTATTTTAAACCACCTACTTGATTTAATCCAGATACCTAACAATGAGCCATATTTATGTACTAACCTGGGTAAGAAGTGTACTTCTGAAAAGTAATTCTGTTTCCTGTTGATCTTTCATGATGTCAGCGTTTTCGTGCATGCCAAAAACTTCTGGATGGCTGATTAGGGGTAAATTTCTCGTGTAGGCGATGTAGTCGTCATATTCTATTTTTTCTGGGACATAGTACATCCCTAAAAAAATAATAACATTATTAAATGTACGCCTATGGCCGGTATCAAATAGCAGTTAAATTTTGAGCTCCCGAAATAAATACAGTTAAAGCAAGAATTACATCTAATAAAATAATAAAAAGTGATATAGTTCTTATAGTGTTGTTTTGCAATAAGTTAGTGTGAAAAAAATAACTGAATCATGGTATTAACAAGAGAAACCCGGGTAGAAATTGAATTAGCGGTAAGCAAGGCTATTAAAAATTATTTGCTTATCAGTCAAATTGCAAAAAAAGTAACAGAAGCAATAATACATACAATTGAAAATAAGCTGCTAAATATCGAAACTTCAGTGGCGGAACTAAAAGATGATTATGGTAAAATGAATACAAAAATTGAAGATAAAACGAAATATTTACAAAATAAAATAAATATACTTAGTGGTGAGAGAGACGAAATGGAGTCTAAAATTGATCAAATGGACCAAGCTACTAGATCTTCTAACTTAAGGGTTTTCAGTATGAAAGAGACCTCCAAAGAAGATACCAGAAAAGTCCTAATAGAAACTTTAAATAAAAATATGTCTCTAAATCTCATCCAAAGTGATATTCTATTGTGCTACAGAATTGGGAAAAGTGAACAAAATTTAAAGTACTGGAAACTAAAAAAATGATATATGGCAAGAAAAAACTACTAAAGGACACAGGAATCGTCATAAGAAAGGACCTTACTAGCTTACGAGTAAATTTGTTAAACGAGGCCATCGGAATACAAGGGTTAAAAAATGTATGGACAGAACATGGCAAAATCTACGTAAACAAGGACAGTAGTAAAGTATATATTATAAGGAACAGAAATGCTTTTAATATTGTATTTACAGCTGAATGAATATTTACTATTAAACAAAAACCAAAATAAAAAAATAAAAAAAAATTCCTTTGCATCATCTTGTTTAAAAACTTAAAATTAAATTAACTCTAAATATATTCTTTGATTCTTTGTATTCTTCTTTCTGAAATTTATTTATCATCAATATTTCGTTATTTCCTATTTTAAGTAAAAAAAAAAAAATGAACATGTAATTTCTACAAAATATTTAGGGTGCTCAATAGTTACATGATATGATAGAATTTTTGAACGTTTTAGACGATAAAGAGATTCAGACGGAATGCGTTAATAATTTCGAAGACCTTATACAGGGAAGGGTAGACAAAAACAGATATGGACTGGGAGTTGTTCACTTTAATATTAGAAGCTTACAAAAACTTTTTAATGAGCTACTGGTATATGTTGAAATGGCTAAAGATATACTTGATGTAATTATATTATCAGAAACAGGAAAAATAAAAAATATTCATGATTTTTCCATTCCTCAGTTTTCAATTCACTACAATGAGGCAATATTTAACAAATGCGTCAGTTCCATAATTTATGTATGAAATAATATATTAGTGAATGTTAATATCGTACCTGTAAATGAAACCAAATTTCTTAGAGCTATTTTAACTTCTAGTAATTTTCCAAAAAATTGTAAAATTGGGCTTACCGCCTTCTATAGACTTCCGGCAACCGACTTAAATATGTATTTAGATAATTTAGAAATATACCTAAATTCTATAGAATATCAAAATCTAGAAATATATGTAGGTGATATAAACATATACTAAAGAAAGAAACTAACGAAACAAACAAATATTTAAATATAATGAATTTCAAAGGTTTTAAATCATATATAAATAAACCAACGAGAGTACAAAATGAGTCAAAAACTGCCATTGATCATATTTTTATTAGAACTCATAAAAACCTAATAAAAAACGTCGAACTTGAGCCAATTATATTTCACACAGATATGACAGATCACTATTCTCCTTTTATACTAATATCTTTTCCTACACAAAAAAATGAGGAACCCCAATCAAAAAACAAAGTGACCATAATAAATTTTGATAATCTAAAATATTGTTTAAGCAGAGAAAATTGGAATGATGTAATTAATACGGCTGGACCACAAAAAGCATAAGATTTATTTTTCAATAAGCTAAATCAACAAATTCAAAAATGCACTAAATCTACAATTAAAACAAAAAATATAATTAAACTAAAACCATGGATAACAACAGGTTTAATACTTTCAGTAAAAAATAGCGACTCTCTAAAAAAAAAACTAACAAAAAAATACACTCTAGAACTTGAAAACCAGTATAAAAATTACAGAAACAAACTTCATTCCTTAACAAGAAAAACAAAAAAATCTGATGTGTCCAACACATGACTTTCCTATCTAGTTATTATAGGCTTTTTTCGGTTATTTTGTACAACCTATTGCAGCATCTCTATAAATGTTTAGAGGATAAACTAAATATATACATTGTCCACATACATCTACCTCGAAACATTTTTCTATAGATATTCATGGAAAACGAAAATACTGAAAAATTAAAATTTCCTACAATTTTTTCATTACGGTCCATTTTAGAAAAATCATGTATAAACAAAAATTATAGAGATCGATATCGCAAACAACTTTTATTTCAAAAACTTTCATAAAATTCAGAATTTTGCACATTTTGTCAAATTTCTCGAATACGGACCATTTCAGGAAATTTTTACATAAAGCTAAAATTATAGATAATAATATTAGAAGTAACTTTTATTTGAACAATATTCTTCTTCAAACATAAATAACAGATATATTCCATAAAATATAAAAACGGCCTCCCATAAAGTACCCCCCCAGATGTTCCGACTTTGTCCAAAATCTAATCATTTCACATCAGGCCGAAATAAAACTTAAGTTTAAAATTTATTGATTTTTTCTTTATCCGTTTTTGAGTTTTCTTCAAATTTCGAAATTTACACATTTTCTCAAATATCTCGAATACGGTCCATTTTAGAGAAATTATCTATGGGACAAAAATTATAGAGAATTATATTACAAACAACTTTTGTTTGAACAATTTTTATAAAAAAAATATTTTTTTACATTTTGTCAAATTTCTCGAATACGGACCATTTTAGGAAAATTTTTCGTAGAACAAAAATTATAGATAATTATATTAGAAGTAACTTTTATTTGAAGAATTTTCTTCTCCAAACGTAAATAACAGATATATTCCATAAAATATAAAAATGACCACCCATAAAGTACCCCCCCAGATGTTCCGACTCTGCCCAAAATCTAATCAGCTCATTGGACGCTGAAACAAAGCTTAAGTTTAAAATTTGGTGTTTTTTTGTGTATCGGTTCATGAGTTATGCGTTATACAGACACACACACAGGACACAGACACACACACACACACACACAGACAGACAGACAGACATCATCGCGAAAATAGTCAAAACGGATTCAAGGGACCTCAAAACGTAAAAATCCGTCGAAAACTCGAGGTCGAAAAAAATCATGATTCCTATACTTTCCTTATATCTGTATACAGATAGGAAAGTAAAAATGACTATTATCAAAATAAAATTACAAAATCTGATGTGTCCAACACATGACTTTCCTATCTAGTTATTATAGGCTTTTTCCGGTTATTTTGTACAACCTATTGCAGCATCTCTATAAATGTTTAGAGAATAAACTAAATATATACATTGTCCACATACATCTACCTCGAAACATTTTTCTATAGATATTCATGGAAAACGAAAATACTGAAAAATTTAAATTTCCTACAATTTTTTCATTACGGTCCAATTTATAAAAATCATGTATAAACAAAAATTATAGAGATCGATATCGCAAACAACTTTTATTTCAAAAACTTTCATAAAAATCAGAATTTTGCACATTTTGTCAAATTTCTCGAATACGGACCATTTCAGGAAATTTTTACATATAACAAAAATTATAGATAATAATATTAGAAGTAACTTTTATTTGAAAAATTTTTTTTTTAAACATTAATAACAGATATATTCCATAAAATATAAAAGTGGCCTCCCATAAAGTACCCCCCAGATGTTCCGACTATGTCCAAAATCTAATAATTTCACGTCAGGCCGAAATAAACCTTAAGTTTAAAATTTAATGTTTTTTTCTCTATCCGTTTTTGAGTTTTCTTCAAAATTCGAAATTTACACATTTTCTCAAATATCTCGAATACGGTCCATTTTAGGAAAATTTTGCATAAAACAAAAATTATAGATAATTATATAAGAAGTAACTTTTATTTGAAGAATTTTCTTCTCCAAACGTAAATAACAGATATATTCCATAAAATATAAAAATGACCCCCTATAAAGTACCCCCCCAGATGTTCCGACTCTGCCCAAAATCTAATCAGCTCATTGGACGTTGAAACAAAGCTTAAGTTTAAAATTTGGTGTTTTTCTGTGAATCGGTTCATGAGTTATGCGTTATACACACACACACACACACACACACACACACACACACACACACACACACACACACACACACACACACACACACACACACACACACACACACACACACACACACACACACACACACACACACACACACACACACACACACACACACACACACACACACACACACACACACACACACACACACACACACACACACACACACACACACACACACACACACACACACACACACACACACACACACACACACACACACACACACACACACACACACACACACACACACACACACACACACACACACACACACACACACACACACACACACACACACACACACACACACACACACACACACACACACACACACACACACACACACACACACACACACACACACACACACACACACACACACACACACACACACACACACACACACACACACACACACACACACACACACACACACACACACACACACACACACACACACACACACACACACACACACACACACACACACACACACACACACACACACACACACACACACACACACACACACACACACACACACACACACACACACACACACACACACACACACACACACACACACACACACACACACACACACACACACACACACACACACACACACACACACACACACACACACACACACACACACACACACACACACACACACACACACACACACACACACACACACACACACACACACACACACACACACACACACACACACACACACACACACACACACACACACACACACACACACACACACACACACACACACACACACACACACACACACACACACACACACACACACACACACACACACACACACACACACACACACACACACACACACACACACACACACACACACACACACACACACACACACACACACACACACACACACACACACACACACACACACACACACACACACACACACACACACACACACACACACACACACACACACACACACACACACACACACACACACACACACACACACACACACACACACACACACACACACACACACACACACACACACACACACACACACACACACACACACACACACACACACACACACACACACACACACACACACACACACACACACACACACACACACACACACACACACACACACACACACACACACACACACACACACACACACACACACAAAAATCCGTCGAAAACTCGATGTCGAAAAAAATCATGATTCCTATACTTTCCTTATATCTGTATACAGATAGGAAAGTAACAAGCCGGAACCGATCATAAAAAAATATAGAAAATCATTAATGACATAACAGGTAGTACAAAAAAAACTAAGCAAATTGAATACATATCTATAAAATCAGAAAATAATGATAATATAAACAATAACAAAGAAAAAGCTGAAGAGTTTAATATTTTGTTTACAAATTTAGGTGAAAATATGGCAAATAAAATACATAAGATAGTACCAGCAGTAAACCTTCTTAAAAATGATAAAGTTGAAAACAACATATTCTTTAAACCCGTAACAAAAAATGAAGTAACTATTTTAATAAGCAAATTAAAAAATAGCTCTGCACCTGGTCCAGATAAATTAACAGCAACTACAATAAAAAATATAAATGAATATATTATTCTTCCTGTAACGCATATCCTTAATATTTGCTTTCAATCAGGAAAAATTCCAAGTCAATGGAAGGAATCAATTGTCACACCTGTATACAAATCTGGAGACCCTAGTGAGCTTACAAATTATAGGCCAATTTCTGTTATCAACAACTTCGCTAAAATTTTTGAAAATGCAGTAAAAGGTAGATTAATTAATTTTTTTCATAATCATAATGTTATTACAGATTGTCAATACGGTTTTATACAAAACACAAGCACTGAAAATGCGGTAGTTGATTTTTTGGAAAAAACGGTTAACGCTGTAGATGAATCATTAAAATGTGCTGCAGTATTTCTTGATTTGGCCAAAGCATTTGATACCGTTTCCCATAACATTTTACTTGACAAACTAAATAACTATGGCATACGGGGTTTAGCATTAAAGCTCCTGAGGGATTATTTATCTAATAGAACCCAGAGCGGAAAAATTGGCAACGCCGGAAGTTCTAAATCAGTAGTAAAGATGGGGGTCCCACAAGAAACAGTATTGTGCTCAATTCTGTTTCTGGTTTATATGAACAACATTACACAAATTAATAACTTATCTGGGAATATCATATGCTATGCGGATGATACGGTAATTATTTTCGCTGGAAAAGAATGGGAAGAGGTTAAACTCACTGGAAAAACGGCCCTAAGAAAGATAAGTTTATGGTTAAATAACAATCTACTAACTTTAAATGTATTGAAAACAAAATGCATTACTTTTAGTTCAACCATCGTTAATCAACCTAACAGCTTTTGTATAAAATTGCATAGTAGTGACTGTCAAAAAAGCGATTGTTTGATGTATTGTTTAAACTTCTGTCTTTCGGTAATGTTAAAAAAATATCAAAATTTATACAAATGTCTAAAATTAAGCTGTAAAATATTGTAATTATTTACCTGTTGTTACCAAATGGCTGTATCATCTTAGCTATGTAGGCCAATAAATTATAAAAAAAAAAAAAAACTGCCCCTTGATAGAAAAAGTTTCTCAAATTAAATACCTAGGTGTAATACTTGATCAATACATACGTTGGTCTGAGCATATTGTCCATGTTAGTAATAGACTGAGAGCCCTAATGCACAAATTTTATGTTCTCCGGGACATTCTTTCAAAGAAAAACATAATGATACTTTATAACTCCCTAGTGGAATCTATATTAAGGTATTGCATAGTAGCATGGAGTGGAGCATTTAACACCACTATTAAAATTGTAGAGACAACACAAAATATTATTTTAAAAATTATTCTAAAAAAAGAGAGACTATTTTCTACAAATAAATTGTACCATGAATCGAACATACTAAACGTTAAATTACTTTTTGCTTATCAATGTATAATAAGAATATATACCAATGCTGAAAATTTTATTCAAGAAAATACCCGCTTAACACGCTCAGTCGCTAATATGGAGATGCCTGTACAATTTTTCAAAAAATCACTTACTCAAAGGTCATTATCATTCTTTGGTCCAAAATTTTTTAACATAATTCCGATACACCTCAGGCAAATAATCAAAACAAAAGAGTTTAAAATTGAAATAAAAAAATATTTAATAACAAACAAAAAAAAATTACGATCTAATGATAACATAGTATAAATAAAAAACATTAAAAGCCAAAAGGACCATCGTAGTTTTTGTCTACTTTTTATTTATCTTTTTATTTATCGGTTTATTCTGTCGAATTTCTTCGGCCCTTGTTCTAATTTTTAAATATTGTATCTTTTGTTAAGTGATAAATAATTATATGTAAAATTTAATACCTGTCTCTAAAAAAATATGTACATAAATAGAGTCATCTGATTGATCAGAAGCAAAACAGGCAGAAATGCCTAGGTTCGATGCTCAATCAGATGTCTTTAAAGAATTTTTTTTTCTGTATAACTATTAGGTAATGTACTTTAATATTTAAACAAATAAATTTGATTTAATTTTGATTTTATGTACAATGATGGTTCAAAATTATTCTTTAATGTCAAAATAGTAAATATTTATTTTTATTTATTTTGTATTTTTAGCGATGAATTTTACAAAAAAAACGTTTCAATACTTGAGAAAAAAATCATAATCATAGATATTTTTTCTTTCACGGTTATACATTACTTTAACGATTCATATACAAAGAAAAAAAACATTATTTAAAACAAATTCGCTATTGTCAACTTAATTTATTTTCTATATGGAGTAAAACAAAACAAAATCATCTAAATCAACAAACTGAAACACTGATGTTTATATTTTGCTTAGGGTAAAAATGACATTTTTTAATTACCTGTGGGATCCAACGGATAATTGACATTATCAACAACTAATGGTGAATAAAATTTATGCAAAATAGTAGATAATGTTCGACGATCCCAGTCATCTGTCACTCTACCACCATAGTTACATTCCCCGGTTAAATAGAGAATAGCTTCGTATTGAATATCCTAAAAACAAATACAAATATATGAATATTAGTTTTCATTAGCAACGACCACTTTGGTATTTTGCTTCGGTTTATATGTAGGCATTGTTACTGTTTTCAGTAACATTTTTTTAATTAGATGCTAAGAAAATTAACACTAACGTTTAAATAATATTTTGAAAAATTAATACAATTTAACCAGGTCCTAACAGAATAGATTATAAATGTGTAACCACCCCTTTAGAGCTCTGTCCCACTGTTAAAGTCTATTTTTATGTATGAGAGAGTAATAAAACAGCATTTCTAATGCAAAACTTAGTCATTTTAAATATTTTTACAGAATAATCTAAATATTTCCTAAACTTGTAATAAATGTACCTGAGCTATTACAAGTTTTGGGTCTTTTATTGGTCCTTTATAAACATAAGCTGTACAGAACCATAGAAAAAGGTTTGGACAGGCCAAAAGCCCTGTGTATTAAAGATTACATAGCCGTATCTTAAGATTATTTTCAATAAGTACCTACTTGCCAATTTTGTTTTATTTTAATTCCAAGAATTTCTTACAGTAATCGAATTATAAGTAGATAAATACCTTCCCAACAAATTTCACCGAAAATGCGATTATAGGTTTTCCATTTAGTAAGGATGTCCAAGTTGTGTATTCTTGACAGTTTACTAAACGTCGTTTAGTTGCAACTTACAAGGTGCAGAGTGAATTCTGGTGTGATCATGGAAAATTTGGAAGGGCTGGGTAAACGACAAAAAAATCGGTCCTTTAACAATTAATGAAAAAACATTAATATTTAATTGTTTTAAATCATTTACAGACAAACATTTATGTAAAAGTGTTGATGACACAGTGGAATTAGTTAGTAGTACGCTTTGTGTTGGGAAATCTACGATTTACAGAGTTGTTAAAGAAGAGAAATGTGGCGAGTTTCAAACAGCACGTAAAGCTCCAGGAAAACGAAAATTTCAATTAGAAAATCTTTTGAAAGAAAGACTTCGAAGGAAAGTGCATGCGTTCTTCTTTAGAAAAGAATTTCCGACAGTAGACAAAGTTCTTGCCACGGTTCGAGATGATAAGGATTACCCCGAAATGAGTCGAAGCACACTATGGAAACTTTTAAAAGAAATAGGTTTTCTATGGAAAAAGCATTCCAGAAAGTCTATTTTAATAGAAAGAAGCGATATTGTAGCATGGAGAAGAAATTACCTAAGGACTATAAAAGAAATGAGAACCAAAGAAGAAATATATTTTATTTAGATGAAACATGGATCAACGAGGGACATAAACCAAATAAATTTTAGCAAGATGAAACTGTTACAAGTCGAAGACAGGCTTTTTTAAATAATTTATCTACTGGTTTAAATCCACCATCAGGAAAGGGGCGCAGACTAATAATAGTACACATCGGTAGTTCAAACGGTTTTGTTAAAGGTGGTTTATTGACTTTTGAATCTACTCGTACCGGTGACTACCATGAGGACATGAATGCTGATTTCTTTAAAGAGTAGTTCGAACAAATTATAAATCTTCTTCCTCAAAACTGTATAATAGTAATGGATAATGCAAGTTATCACTCGAGACTTATAGAAAAAATGCCCACAACCAAGTGGTTAGAAAAAGATTTACAGAATTAGCTAATAAAAGAATATTAAGTTCCATCCCGGTTCTGTGAGAAAAGAACTGTATCATTTGTGTTCCCTTCATAAAGAGAAATTCAAAAAATATGAAATTTTTGAAATTGCAAAAAATCGTGGGATGACGGTGGTTAGATCACCATCATATCATTGCGAAGTAAACCCGATTGAACTGATATGAGCACAGATAAAGGGAGAAGTTTCAAGAAAAAATAATTCTTTTAAAATGAGTGATGTTAAATAGTTGTTTTTAGAGGCTGTAAATAATGTGAAGCCTAACAACTGGGAAAAGGCAGTAAATCATATGATTAAAGAAGAAGAGAAAATGTGGAAGTTGGACAATATTACTGATGAAATGATCGAGCCACTCATTGTAAATATTGGTTGCGACAGTTCATCTTCTGATTTCGATTCTGTTTTGGATTTGTAGGTAAGAAGTAGTTTTTATATTAAAATTATTATTTATGAACGTAACGTTGTTTAAAAGCCAAAGTTTAAACCCTTTTACCTACATAACCCGTTTGACACAATGTTCTTAACATACCTTGTGGAAAAATAAAACATTTTAGAAAAAATTGCACTTTTTTACCTTCAGCTGTTTAGAAGTTATAAACAGGTTAATTAGGTGAAAATATAAGTGTATACTCGAGGAATAACTTCAAAAAATATTTTAACTGTCTACTAAAAGAAGGGGTACACATATGGATTACGAACGTTTTATTATTTTAATACTCTCTCATACATAAAAATAGACTATAGAGGCTTGCCCGTCGGACCTCGAAAAATGGTGAATATTTAATCTAGGTAAGACGTACATTTATTTTTACTTTCTAAATATGTTATGCTGGTTTTTGATAAATTCAATTTATATAAAACACAATTTTTACAATATACAACTATTAAGAATAACGTACAATGACTATCATAAAACTGAACAGTGATTTTGTGGGATCTTTAAAATTATTCATTCCATCATAAATAAATGGTTTTGTTAAGATGTAACAATAATAATAATAATAATAATAATACTCACCCTAATTCACCCCCTTACGAGTGAATTTTAACCCCAAAAGCTAAGCTATTGTGCGGGGAAAGGGACGACTATTATTATTATTTGCCGTGGCGCTCCGGGGCGACTTAAAGATTATTAATGATGCCATTTGATTTACAGGTGAGGAAAACCCGGAAAACCTCACCCACCATCATCGAGACGGTAATGTATGGTGATTTTTTTATAATCTGCATGTCACATCAACAGAAATTGAATTTCTGTTAATACGGCACACATCAAATCCTATACCGAACCATGCAAATTAAAAATCCACATGGTCTGGTCTGGGATTTGTAGCCCAGCAGTCTCTGACACATAAACTCGCTTATAAATGAATATAAGCGCGTTAGACCGCTACACCACCGACCCGAATAAGGTATATTTTAATTCGAAGAACAAAAAGACGTGTCTTATATATAAAATATAAAAGTCATAACATCATGATGATCAATAATAATTCTTAGCAACCGAAGTTGCTTAGGAAATGAGTTTATCCTTTGACATACTAGGACTGCCACAAATTGAAGGGTCAGCTAAAAAGTGTTAAGTGTGTGACATTTTAACGTATGTAGTGCAACTGAGGCGCTACAGATGTCAAGATCATCGACTTATATGCTCTCTTGAACCTTCCCGAACCTATTCGAACCTTTCAGATGTTTCTTGACACGAACTAACATTTCTAGACTGTTTTTTCCTTTTCTTTTATTCGTACTTATGATGACCGCAGCATAGTGTAGGGTGATGGGTGACATTTTTTTATTCGTACGCTTCTTAGAACAGTTGCAGGATAATGCAGGGTGCAAGGTAACATTGCTGCCACTTATCTAATTATTTGTCCTGAATAACTTGATTACTGGGACCTTGTTGGAGCCAAAAGGGAGGATCTGGAACAAGTGAACTACCTTGGGTTTACTTCCTGCTAACAACTGAGTGCTGTAGATTAAGTCGTTGATTTGCTTGAAGACTGTGTAGGAGTCTTCCCAGTATCGTTGAAATTTCTGACAAAGTCTTTTTCAGCGCTTCAGATTGTATAGCCATACTAGGTCGATTTTTTTAAAATGTGTTACTATGGCAAGCATATCGATTCTAGCTATTGACTTTCAAACGTTGCCGAGCGAATTTTTATACTTTTTCTAATCTTTCTCTTAAGTTCTGTATGTACGTAGGAGATCTAGCGCCTTCTTCTTTACCAGAGACTGCCTTCCAAAAGGAAGTTCATGGAGAATTTTCATCTCTCTTCCAGTAAGCATCATAGATGGAGTATAACTGGTCAATTTATGTTTAGAACTCCTATAGACTAGCAGAAATAGAGGAATTAAAGTGTACCAGTACTTTTGGTTATCAGAGATAAATATTTGAAGATATTGGCATATGGTTCTGTGGTGTATTTCTACCATTCTGTCGGACTATGGGTGGAAAAGCGTGTTATATGTTTTCTTAATGCATAACAATTTCATCAATTCTTGTCATAATTTAGATTCAAAATTTTGTCCTAGGTCAGAATGCAATTTCAAAGGAATTCCATGTCTCATCATGACGTTCGTCATAAATGCTTCTGCTACTGTCATCGCTCTCTGATTAGAAATTGGCACTATTTTGGGCCACTTTATTTCGGTCAAGGGAAGTAATCTGAGAATATCTATGGAAATTCGTTTAAAAGGCTCTCCGGAAAGGTACTGTGTCATTTTACTTCGTCTTCTTGTTTTGGGTCCTTTTCTGCATTAAATCGGTCACATTTTTTACACCAATCTTCTTTATCCCGTCGGCAATTGACCCAATAAAATATTTCTTGAACTCGTGCCAGTGTCCTTTTAGTACCAAAATATTCTGAACGGCTGCTATGAAGCTCCTCCAACACCCTTCTGGCATGTGATTTAGGCAGCACCACTTGGCAGACTACGTGTACTTCATCAGAGCTCTCCCAATTCCGGTGCAGTAGGCAAAAAGTAAAGATACACGGAATCTTACTCCAGTCTAGTACTTTTTTATAGCTCCACTATATTTGGCTATTTCTTGCAATGTAGGTCTGACTCCATTTTTGAGCTATCTCTTAAGTCTTTCTCTTGAGTCTTTCTCTTGAGTCTTTCTCTTGAGTCTTTCTCTTGAGTCTTTCTCTTGAGTCTTTCTCTTGAGTCTTTCTCTTGAGTCTTTCTCTTGAGTCTTTTTTAGGCTTTTAAGCGTGATTGCGTCTTCGTCATCAGACAGTGGTCGTCTGAAGATGAACTACTTCAACAGGCTTCTCTTGTTGTTTGAGCATTTTATAGTACCGGCATTCTCGTTCTAAATAGTGTCCTTTTTAAAACCATCTAGCAACTCGTCCTTCAG